AGCCTAAAGGAACACAGAAAGCAGGAAGGAGTATCTTCTTGCCACTACCCCTCCCATCCACCACCAACCACCTTCTCTGTCCCTCTTGGGCTCTCAGGATGGATGTCACCCGCCTGCTCCTGGCCACCCTTGTGGTCTTCCAATGCTTCCTCACTGTCTACAGCCATCTGGTACCCGAGGAGATGCTCAGAGATGACAGGAGCCTGAGGAGCAACTCCTCCATGAACCTGTTGGATTTTTCTTCTGTCTCTATCGTGGGTAAGTAGTTTGGTCTGGGACCTAGCCTCTGTGCTCTGGCCCATAAGGGAGTACAGTGTGCCAAGCCTGTTGAGCAAGCTGCTACCAGGATAGCCATGGTTTCTTCTTGCTCATTCCTGGGAGAATAAAATATCCCTTGAATCACCGGGTTTGGGAAAGCCCTGCATGCCGCCAATCTAATATACAGCTTAATCTGTCAGAGATTGTGAGAAAGTCTGAAGTCAAGATGCTTAGGGAACTTGGTTTAATTTAGCATTTGTGAAACTTAAGGATTTTCAGAAATCCTATCAACACTAACAAACTTCAAGAAATACTGTGGAATATGACCTAGGCTGGGATAAACCAGTCTTGCCACGGAAGGGAAAATTATGAGCAGTATTAATTAGGCTGGCATTGAAGATCTTGCAATTTGACTTCACCTGACAATAATGGGCATGAACTGAGGCTGAAGCTCAATGGTAGAGCTCGTGCTCAGAGTGCATGAGGCCCTGGATTTAGTCCCCATAATCGAAACAATATTAATATTCATAAGGTGTGCTAAACACTGAGGTGGGTCTTAGTTTTTATATTTTACAACTGGTAAAATTGGAGCATACAGATATTAACTATTATAGAATAAGATCACATAGATCCTAATGGGCAGAACCAGAATTCTACACGTAAGCTCAAAACAAGTATCTCTTTATTGTCTTGCCTCTCACTGGGGGTGTGGAGAATATTCCAGACATAAAGAGAAGGAAGAGTAGGGAAAAGAGGAAACATTGGTATCCATTGAGTGCCTTTGGTGTGCTAGACTTTTTGCTTTATAGATATATTTGGTTTATTACAGAACCTTTTTAGCAATTGAGAAAACTATCAAGGAGGTTTAGTAAGTTACAGATCAGATGTAAGTTAATGGCAGTCAGGATTCAAAGCTGGTGTGTCTGGCTCTGCACTCTGAATATAGAAAATAGGTAACACAAGGTGCATCTGGGAACAAAACACTGAATCCATTTTCAGAGGATCACAATGTCCTTGCACCTGCAAGGTTAAAGACTAAGAAGGGGCACCTGGAGTGATAGAATGGCCCAGAGCTAACAAGGTCAAAGGATCAGGTCTAGGTCTCTAATGGATGCCACAGATAGATCCCGGGGCCCCTTGGACTTCCTGCTTGCCTCCCCTCAGAGCACTCTGCTCTCCAGGTCAGCAGCCAGGCTAACAAAAACCTGCTGGCTTGATTTCCATAATATAGTTCATCCCCAGTCCCTCTTTCTCTCCTCCACCCTGAGACTTTCCAGAGCCGTCCTCTGTTCCTCCCACTTCACCACAACTCAGGGCCCCCAGAAACATCTGGCTTTGCTCCTTCTCTCTTTGAAGCACTGAACAAGAAATCCGAGAAGATCAGCAGAAAAGAAGCAGAAAAGAGGAAGAGCTCTCCCAAGGTAGGCCTAGGAGTTCTGACACTGGGGGTGAGACTGGAGTTAAAAGTGAAAGGCCTCCAAGCCAGAGTTGAAAACTAAATGAAAGCTATTTCCAGGCCTACCTAAGGGAAACAAAAAACCTGAAAACTACCTAAAGGTTTCCTGGCCTAGAGCCTTGAGGCAAAATAGTTCACTGCCAAAAAAGGTTTCCAGTGCCAGTTAAGCCCACCTGCCTGAAATCTCACCATCTCTCATTCTTTTGAATACTTTCCCAGGAACCACTTTACAACTCTTGTTATATCTGAGTTTC